CGTGTGACTAATCAGGTCATAAAATGCACTCAAATTAATTTAATAATTAACCGAAATTAATTTATGCATTATATTTCCTAAATAACACAAGCTTCTGAATTGAACCGCTATCCTTAATTTTGAAAATTTTTATTGTCATGTTATTTTGTTTAGGAAAGGAGCATGTCTTTTAGGAAAGCAGATATATGAAATTACAATGTAAATAGAAATTCAACGAGAAAAATATTGTTTATTAGAAATTAAGTCAAATCAATTATTTTTTTATGATTTTAGATCCGTTTATTTTTATAAATTTCTTTAAAAGAAAACCAGTCATCCCAGTTTATGTTTAATATAAAATGTGATTCCCAACTTTAAAGAAAAATGAATATTTTTTAATTGCTTTCATATAGTTTTAGGTCCGTCTATTTTAATATATATTTAAAAAATACCATTAATCCCTGTTTGTTTTAAACATAATTTAAAATATTAATACCCATTCATTTTTAAATATAAATCATGTCTATTTCAAATACTATATATATATATATATATGTGTGTGTGTATGTGTGTGTATATATATATATATGTCACAATGCACATATATATATATATATATATATATATATATATATATATATATATATATATATATATATATATATATATATATATATATATATATTATATATATGTATATATATATATATATATATATATATATATATATATATATATATATATATATATATATATATATATAACAAATATTTAATTCCGTACATGCATTTGATACACACACATATATATATATATATATATATATATATATATATATATATATATATATACTCGACTCTCCCCGTCGATTTGACGTATGAGGGTCAAATAGATCAGTTCCCAGGAAACCGACAGCCCGACAACAGCCCATGAGATTTGATTATAGTGGTGAAGTTTTCAGCAGGACCATCCACACTTTTTGAAGGTCCGAATACAGAGACCTATATATATATATATATATATATATATATATATATATATATATATATATATATATATATATATATATATGTGTGTGTGTATATTAATTATATATATATATATATATATATATATATATATATATATATATATATATATATATATATATATTGTTGAGTAATTGATAGTGTCTTATGTGTGTGTGTGTGTGTGTATAATCGGATATTATATATATATATATATATATATATATATATATATATATATATATATATATATATATATATATATATTCAATTGAGTAATTGATAGTGTCTTAGATTGAGAAACCGGAGAGCCGAGCTCGAATCACAGTCGAATCCATTACATTCACTTACATGCTAATATCCTTAAGCAAAGTGTGAATCCTCTTCTTCTCACTCCAGTTATGGGTAAATAGCAGGACTGGGTTCTATAGCCTTGGATGGCAACTGGTCTAGGAGAAGGACAACTCTGAATTCAAAACCTGCGGGGATCTTTTGGGGATCTCGTGCCACGTAGTGCACCAGGTCTCTGTATTCGGCCCTTCAAAAAGTGTGGATGGCCATTTTGTTTCAAAACTTCTGGTGTCTTATCAAGTAATGTGGTTGAATGTAGAATAAAAAATTTAAATGGTTCAAATCAATCAAACACCCCCTCGCTTTAAACAGAGGCAGGGAGGATGACATCTTGCAAAGAACAATACATGCATAATCAGAGTATCAATATATAGACACAATATATATATATATATATATATATATATATATATATATATATATATATATATATATATATATATAATTGATTTAAAATATGTTTTTCAACACAGTTCTAACCATGTTTCAAAAATGGAAGCATATATATATATATATATATATATATGAAGAAATATAGTTATGTATATATATACATATATATAGTTATATATATATATATATATATATATATATATATACATTATATAGTTATATAAATACATATATATAGTTATACATATATATATATATATATATATATATATATATATTATATATATATATATATATATATATATATATATATATATAGTTATATATATATACATATATGAAGAAATATAGTTATGTTTGGAATAAAATGCTCAATATCAGAGATAGTGCGTATGTAAATATAAAATATAAATTAGTAGTGTCATTCATATATATATATATATATATATATTTTTTTTTTTCTAGTGGAAAAACGTAACAGCTTTGAGATGAACTAAATAAAAATATAATTAAATAATTTTTGTGTGCCATATTTGATGAAAGTTGTTTAAAAGAAAGGTTATATGTGTGTTTTTATTGTTTATGAGCCAATATCAAAAAGCATTTTGTTGATAATTTTATGATATGTGTGTAATGTGTCATTTAATTGTGACTGTGTGTTTGTGTTTGTGTATTATGAAAGCTTTGTTATTTTTAAAATATCATGTTTTCCTATATTTGCCATAAAAAGCAATAAAATGGCATCAAATTTCGGGAGCATATATTCAAAATTTATTTTATAAAAAAACGTATGAAAAACGATAATACAAAATTACGCGGAAAAAAACTGCCATGACATGTGAAGGCACAATATTTAAAAAATGATAATAGAGACATCACAGATAAAATCAATGCATTGATAAAAAATAATGCATTTATATACCACAGCGTTAACTGCAATAAAGCTTTGATTTAAAAAAAAACTGTTTGAAAGATATATAGATAAGCAGGAAAAAATGTGTCTGACAGATATTAAGAGAGATATTTAGAGGAATATTGAGAGATATATATTGAGAGGGATATGTAGAGAGATATTGAGAGGGATATTGAGAGAGATATGTAGAGAGATGTTAAGAAGGGTATTGTGAGGGGTATTGAGAGGGATATTTGGAGAGATATTGAGTGGGATTTTGAGAGAGATATTCAGAGATATTCAGAGAGATATTGAGAGGTATACTGAGAGAGATATTTAGAGATATATTTAGAGAGAGATATTGAGAGGGATATTTGAAGAGATATTGAGTGGGATTTTGAGAAAGATATTTAGAGAGATAATGATAGGGGTATTGAGAGAGATATTGAGAGGGATATTGAGAGAGATATTTACAGAGATATTGATTGGGGTATTGAGAGAGATATTGAGAGATATATTGAGAGATTTTTAGAGAGATATTGAGAGGGATATTGAGAGGGATATTTAGAGAGATATTGAGAGGGAAGAGAGATATTGAGAGAGATATTTA